GCACCGTTTACATCCCATGAGTCAAAGAGTAGAACATAATCATTTTCTAAAAAAACTGGTGACAAACATCAAAAAGAAAAGAGTTATTTGATGCAGAGATGCACTGTGGGTTTTTTTTTATTCAGTGGTCCATCGTTATTCGTGGGAGTTACGTTCTAAAAATAACCCGCAATAGGTGAAATCTACGAAGTAGTCCACTTTATTCATTCATTCATTCATTCATTTTCTTTTCAGCTTAGTCCCTTTATTTGTCTGGGGTTGCCACAGCGGAATGAACTGTCAACTTATCCAGCACATGTTTTACGCAGCAGATGCCCTTCAAGCTGCAACTCATCACTGGGAAACATCCATACACACACATACACTACGGACAATTTAGCCGACCCAATTTCAACTACAGTTGAAGTCAGAATTATTAGCCCCCCTGTTTATTTTTCCCCAATTTCTGTTTAACGAAGAGCAGATTTTTTTTATTTAACACATTTCTCAACATAATAGTTTTGATAACTCATTTCTAATAACTCATTTATTTTATCTTTGCCATGATGACAGTCAGGGCCGTTGTGGGACTCCTTTTTAGCTCTGGAGTTTCAAGCCATAGACCGGCCCACCTCAGTCGACGACTGACAATATTAAAATAACGTCATTTCCAATTCAGTTTCAGATGACACTAATGCCGAGTTCAGACTGCATGATTTTCCAACTAGTCGTGTCACAGCTGTTTTCACACTGCATGACTATCTGGGCTAGCGTTTCGTCGCTGCTTTGTTTACACTGCAAGATGTATCAGTGATGGGGACATTCACATTGCATGACTTTACTATAGGGAGAATCGCCGACAACTTCGCCCAAACTACGTCTCACAGCCAAAAACACGTAGTATAGGCTATCTTTTGTTATTAACTACATAATAAGAAAGAAACCTTTAATGGGGTTGAACATGTACATGTTTGCTCACCTGGGTTTAAAGGGAATTAGCCATTTCTCCTCAACGTTGCTAATAAACTAATTTCTTTCTGTATGAAACGTCAAACAGACACGGTTGCTACTGATTCCTGTCAAACCTCCACTAGTTTTCCCTCCATTTCGTGGGTCCAAATAAACCGAAAAAGAGCGCTTTTAACTTCTCCCCCAGCCTCCCGCTGGCCTGCAGCAGGTATACACACACGCACACACAAGTGAAAGCTGCTCTCTCATTGGCTGTAGGCGATCGCTGATGTTATTTTCAGTCAAAACTCATTTCACACGGCATGATTTGCATCGCCGACAGCTCCAGATATTTAACACGCCAAATATCTCGCAGGCATCGGTGACTCGTCGGCGATTCTCTCAGATCGCGTCTTTGATCGTTCATACTGTGTGATTGTCACTCACGTGCACGAGCAGCGATTTGCCTGTGATTATAGGCATTTGTCTGCGATTTCTCAAAACCTGTCGGCGAGCCAAAATCGGGGCTAAAATCACGCAGTCTGAACTAGTCATAACACGTCTTTTTCAAGGACACAGCTGCTTTAGGACAACAAATGTTTTTCATAAATATGAGAACATTAATTCTTTATAGATATCCAGTCCTTTGTAACAGTCGTCACACACACAAGAAAAATGTATTCCTACATAAGTAACCCAAACAGTATTTGATGTCTTAACACTGAAAAAACACATATTTTACTCTGGTGAGGTTCGAACTCGGGTCGGTTGCGTCAATGCGTAACGTGCTAATCTCTAGACCACAATGGCGCTGGTAAGCCCTGCAATGTTATCTGCTCCTATTGATGTCTACTCTTTTTTTTTTTTACCCTACTCTTTTTCTCCCCATTTTAGATTTCTGATCAAGTTATGTCAAGATTAAAAGTTAAGATTTATTAATGTAGTAAATCATCAGATTTTCAATGAGCAGGTGTAATATTCATTAATATTAATTAATATTCACTAAGGTGCCGCTGTTTGGGGTGGAATGGGGTGCAGCCCGCAGGTTAATAATGATCATCATTAACCTGCGGGCTGCATTTAGCTCACGGGGATGCGAGAAAATAAATAAAAAGAGCGGAGCTGCGGGCAAAATAATGATTAAAAATGTGATGAGTGAGTGAGGCTATGATCAAATAAACAAATAAATTTAAAAAGTGTAACTGCTGAAAGTGCAAGCAGCTAGAGACTCCGGCCCTCGCGGCCAAAAAACGGACCGGCCCACCGGGAATTCTCCCGGTTCTCCTGATTAGCCAATCCGGGCCTGATGACAGTAAATAATATTTGACTATGTCAGTAAACATCTGGGGCCTCATGTACGAAGATTTGCGTGGAAATCTTACTAAAACATTGCGTACGCACAAAGCTGTAATTGTGCATATGCAGTAAAAAATTCAGATGTATGAAACACTGTGTACGCCGAATCCCACGCATATTCTCTTTGTACATCCGAATGAACGTGAAACTGAGCGCAACATACACGAGTGCTAAACCCCTCCCTGCCTCCTCCCCCGTATGAATATGCTAATGACTATACTTTGGCAAAACCCAATGGCAAAAGCAAGCAAGAAGAGAAACTTTGAACAGAATGTGAATTGGAGGTGCTGCTTTCGGAGGTAGCCGGAGAAAACGGGTGTTATTTGCAATTTTGTCCTCCGGAATTAATAACAAAAGAAAAAAATGGAGTGGAAGAGTTTAGCTGATGCGGTTAACACAGTTAAGTCTGAACATAGCACTGAGTGGATTAAAAAAGAAATAGTGCGATGTAAAGGTGCAAAATTTTGTAGTGTCTTTATCAGCATGACTGGCGCAGCTCGTAAGACGCATACCAACATGTTTTGACTAGTGATGGGAAGTTTGGATCATTTTACTGACTTGGATCTTTGAGTCTCGTTTATCAAGATGAACAAATCTTTTTTCGAGTCATTTCGTTCATTTGGTTCAATTTGCCAAAATATTATTAAAATGTTACAAATTGCTTCCAAACACATCTACAACTAGCCCAAAAGGTTGATCACACGACAAATAAGTCATAAATAAAATACTATAAGAAGGAGAAAATAATAATTCAATGTTTACCTGCTCTTTTGTCTATTGTTGTCTCTTGTTGTCTCTTTGCTCAGCTCAGCTCTTCATGTCTTCAAATGTCAGTGATTCGTTCACGTTACACTGACAGTCACATATAATCTTAATGCACAGTCTAAGCCGATAGGAGCCATGATCGTTCGTTGTTTACGTAACAGAATGACTCAAACCCAACGAGTTGAGAGATGAACGGTTCAATTCTTTTTCCGACTCTAAACGCGTATGATTGGCCCGTGATGAACGAGTGACTCAGACCCGATAGAGGACTCGAGAGGTGAGCAGATCAATTCTTTTTCCGGCTCTGAACGCGTATGATTGGCTTCTGCCAATGTGATGAAGACTTGAAATGAACGATACCACCTGCACAAATGTGCGCACGCGCGGATGAACGAATCACTCCCTGAGAATACTTGTAGTCATATTGAAGATTCATCCAAAATGAACGAATCGTTCATGAACGACCCATCACTAGTTTTGACACGTTCAAGCATGAACTCGGTTTGAATCCAGCGTCGGATGATTCTTTTTCTTTCCTCCTGCTACATATCAGATTTTGCCTGTACTCTTCATCACAAGGAAGACAAGTAATCATTAGACAAGGAATCATTAATAAGTCTGTGCATCGTATTTTATTTGCACATTTATTGAACGGAAATGTTTCTGATTCACATATGCAAATTCATCTTCTGATGGCGCCTTTATAGCAATGTGCGTGCAGTTGATCGCTCCGATTACATTGAGAAAAGTGGCGACCGCTGCAAATTAATAATAATAATAATAATAATAATAATTCCTTACATTTTATATAGCGCTTTTCTGGGCACTCAAAGCGCGTTACATAATGCACAATGGGGGGATCTCCTCATCCACCACCAGTGTGCAGCATCCACCTGGATGACGCGACGGCAGCCATTTTTGCGCCAGACCGCACACCACACACCAGCTGATTGGTGGAGAGGAGACAGTGATGAAGCCAATTGAATATGGGGATGGTTAGGATGCCATGATGGACAGAGGGGAGTGGGCAGATTTGGCCAGAATGCCGGGGTTAAACCCCTACTCTTTTCGAAGAACATCCTGGGATTTTTAACGACCACAGAGAGTCGGGACCTCGGTTTAACATCTCATCCGAAAGACGGCGCTCACTGAGCAGTATAGCGTCCCCGTCACTATACTGGGGCATTAGGACCCACACAGACCGCAGGTTGGGCGCCCCCTGCTGGCCTTACTAATACCACTTCTGGCAGCAACCTAGTTTTCCCATGTGGTCTCCCATCCAGGTACTGACCAGGCGCAGCCCTGCTTAGCTTCAGTGGGCGACCATGTGAGAGTTGCAGAGAGCTAGCTGCTTTAATGTTTGGCTGGTCAACTGTATGGTATGGAAACCTTGTATACCTGCTAGACATGCGCATAAACCCGTCTCATACAGCTGACATTGCATGGCACACGGACACTTTGTAGTGTGCAATTTAACACAACTGCCTCTAGGAGTCGCCAATAGAAATAAAACAGACACGTACAAGAAATGTGCGTACGCCAGGCATGAAGCTGGCGTGGAGCTGTGCACATTCTCAGATTCTGAGCGTAAAACCTGGCGTACGCAAAGTTTTTGTGTGTACGCAGCGTTGATGCATGAGGCGACTGGACTTTCTGGAGCCAGCCTCCAAAGACGAGTCGATGAATTACAGTTTTAATCACTTCTGTATTGGATTCCTGAGTGAGAGCGGGAGGTTGACGCTTCTTTTCATTGCACACACTGTTTATTGTCACGTGAAATACTAAAAACAAAATTCAATTCAAGTGTATTTGTATGGCGCTTTTCACAACAATCACAGCTTTAAAGCAGCTTTAAAAAATGCACAGTATATATCGGACAATTTAGGTTATTGATTACCATCAAATTACTGGTTACTAAAACTTTTTTTTTAACACTTGATCTTATTTTGCAGAGTCAGCAGTGACGTCTCCACTGGAGGAGATCAAGGAGCAGGAGGAGATGAGTGTGGGTGCGGGGGTCAATGTGGAAGATGAAACCCTGGAGGACAACAGCAGTCTCAACATGTCTGCAAACATCTCTCTGGATTCGGGTCGTGCCGGGACAGCAACTCCCTCGCAGGATTCAGTGACTTTAGAAAGCGGGACGCCCAGAGACGATCCAGTATGTGACCTGTCCACTGATGCAGAGTATGTACATACATTTGCTGATTTGCAATTAAGTGAAATGTTTATCAATAGCTATCTTTCCATCCATCTATTTTTCCCTTTATTTTGATGCTAAGTACAGATGTCATTGTTTATACAGAGATAGATTTTTTAAATAAACCCACTTAAGTACACTGCTTTATATATTGACAGAAATGTTAATAAAATAGAAAAGACATATGGAAAAAAAAAATATCTGCAAAGTTGTATAAAATAAGATAGTAAAAAATATATCTATATAAATGAATAAATAAATTAAATTAAATTAAATTAAATTAAATTAAATTAAATTAAATTAAATTAAATTAAATTAAATTAAATTAAATTAAATTAAATTAAAAAAATAAATAAAATAAAATAAATAAAAATAAAATAAATAGACAACAATAATGGCTGTTACAATCAGGGATAGTGTTGTGCTCATACAATGTGAGGCTATAGTGTAGACCAGTGGTTCTCAAACTTTTTTCACCAAGTACCACCCCAGAAAAAGTTGTCTCTCCAAGTACCACCATAATGAGCAGTATTGAAATAAAGTCGCGTAGTTGGTAAAAGTAAGCAGCTACAGCACTGCACGGTTTGAAACGAAGCAGAGTCATATTCATTCAATGAAATCATATTCCATACAAAATATGAAGCTGATCTGTCATTTCTTATCGCATGACTCGCGGTATGGCGTTGTGAAAAGTTAAGATGTTTTCATCTGGGGACGCCTGGAATATGCAAGCGCTTTGTGCGGCAGTTCTTACTAATTTTGCTAGCCTATGGGTCAAATTTTGGCACTCAAGTGACTAAGATGTAACAACAGAATATGGTCATTTTTCAAAATAAAAGACTTTTTTTTAAATAAATGATTATTCAGACTCAGATTATAAATAAAACTGAAATAATTAATGATTTTTTGTGCGGTCGGTACTAGTTGATCTATAGACCGGTGCCGGTCTGTGGCCCAAGGGTTGGGGACCACTGCTCTAACACGTACAGTATCTGTTCTGCAAGCACCAAACACCTCTTTCTCTAGTTCTGTGCCTATGGAAAGATAGCTATTGATAATCAAGTTAATTGATTTTTAGCAGCTGAAGACGCCATGCACTAAAGTAAACATTCTAAGCACAATACTTTGATCGTAGGCTTTAGAAAACAACCAATACTTATCACATTGGGGTTATCGTTTGCATCAAATGATCAAATTGTATTTATTTTTTCTTTTGTTACTCAGTGATTCCTCCGCGTACCACTAGAAGTAAGCCCGCGTACCACTAGTGGTACACGTACCACAGGTTTGAGAACCACTGGTGTAGACCAAGCAAAAGGGTCTGGACAGAGGGAATAGAAAAAAAGGGAGATTACAGTTACATACAAGATAAGTCACGTTATTCACCTGGAAGTATATTTATAGCGGAGAAATATGATAATAAGGGTTGCCAAACATGAAAATTGAATATTGAACTTTTTCCAAGTGTAGATATTCCATTCATCTATTTTTATGCTAATTTTGTTATATCGCATTAAAACATTCTTGTTATTGCATCATTTATTCCGTCTACATTAGATGAATGTTTATCAATAGCTATCTTTCCATCCATCTATTTTTTTACTTTATTTTTATGCTAAGTACAGATGTCATTGTTTATACAGAGATAGATTTTTTTTAAATAAACCCACTTAAGTACACTGCTTAATATATTGACAGTAATGTTAATAAAATAGAAAAGACACATGGAAAAAAATCTGCAAAGTTGTATAAAATAAGATAGTAAAAAATATATCTATATAAATTAATTAAATTAAATTAAATTAAATTAAATTAAATTAAATTAAATTAAATTAAATTAAATTAAATTAAATTAAATTACATTAGATGGGACTTTTATGCAATGGAAGGAAATGAGTGCATATACTGTAGGAGATATTTTCGCTGACGGAAATTTAGCTTCGTTTAACCAATTACAGCAGAAATTTAAATTCCCTCAGAATCATTTTTTCACATTTTTTACAGATTAGGAACTACATATATGCCCATACGTCTTCATCAGATACTACATCCCCTTCAATCATTGACAAATGCCTAGATTGGTGTAAAGGTAGTAAAAAAGGATTATCAATAATTTATGAACAACTACAATCTGTTACTTCTCCCTCCACAAAATGTTTTAAGAAGGAGTTGGAGAGAGAATTAGGAGTGGAAATTTCAGAAGAAATGTGGCAATCAGGTTAGGAGGATATTGTTAAACACTTTATTATTTCTAGACACTGTCTTATTCAGTTTAAAATAATTCATAGGTTACATTATTCAAAGAGAAAACTACATAGAATCTTCCAAAATTCTTCTATTTGTGACAAATGTAATTCATCAGATCCGGATCTCTCTCACAGTTTTATTTTTTGTTCCAGGATACAGAATTATTGTAATCGAAATTTTGAAGTGCTTTCCGAGGAGTTAAAGTTGCAATTACAACCAGATCCAATGCTTGTAATTCTGGGATTCTCTGAGCAAATGCATTTGTTGTCAAATACACAACATACATTGCTCTCAAACTGCTTAACTACTGCCAAGAAGCTACTGCTATTGTTATGGAAAAAAAGGAATCCCCTACACGCAAACTGTGGCTTGGAGAAATTGTCTCTATGTTACATTTGGAGCGAATTAAGATACTACTTGAAAAGAAAACTTGAACAATTTGACAACATTTGTAATCATTTTATCTGTTACCTTGGAAAAAAAAACTTTCACAATAATGCATCATTTCTGTAATGCTCTAACATGCTTTGTCATCATACTATGTTGTTCAAACAGGTCTTTGTAACAAGTTTGCTTGTTATGTGGGTGGGTGTTTTTCCTTTTTTTTTCTTTTAATTTATCTTATTTGCTGTGCCTATGTTAGATGTGGACAAACTATCTGAACAAAACTCTTCTTCTTGAATCTGTCTACAAAAAACTTTAAAAAAAATAAATAAATCTTGTAATTGGAATGAAAATACCAAGATGTGCAAAACATGCACCTGTTTGCAAATCTGTTTGCATTTTTTTCCACTTGCAAGAATTTTTTGTAATGTGATGTAACATTTCCTTTAATAGTGACCTTTGTATTAAACTGAACTGAAGTAAAGATGACTTAATATATTTGTTGATGGTGTTTGTTAACCTTTACATGGTTTTGACCCCTGACAGAGTTGCTGAAGGCACAGTGAATGGAGAAATGAAAGCAGACCAGACCAGAAGTTCCCATATCACCTCAGAAGATAAAGGTGAGCTTTGACCAGTGGCTGAGACTCTTCAGCACCTTTTTTACTTTAGTGTACTGTATTTTACTTCATTTTTTTTGTTTTTGTTCTTTAGTGTGTCCTTTATTTTATACACGTTATTATACTTATTTTAATAGGTTTACTTCTAGCCAAGGTCCAAACAATATAGTTACTGTACATTCATAAAAAATAAACATTCATTCATTCATTCATTCATTCATTTTCCTTCGGCTTAGTCCCTAATCTGTGGTCACAACAGCGGAATGAACCGCCAACTTATCCAGCATATATTTTACACAGTGGATGCCCTTCCAGTTGCAACCCAGTACTGGGAAACATCCATACAGATTCATTCACGCACATTTTCAATTCACCTATACTGCATGTTTGGACTGTGGGGGAAACCGGAGCACACAGAGGAAACCCTTGCCAACATGGGGAGAACATGCAAACTCCACACAGAAATGCCAATCCAGCTGGGACTCGAACCAGCGACCTTCTTGCTGTGAAGTGACAGTTCTAAACACTAAGCCATCATGTCACCTTGAAAATAAACATTTAATGATAATGTACATTTCACATCAATTAATTTCTTAAAGTATCTTAAAGCAAAGCAAACAGTTTTGTTCTTTTTAAATCTTCTAAATGTTATGACTGAGAAACATCAACTTGCAACATGTACATACAATATGTACATGGTGCAATAGATATGTATTTGCTTGTTTATTTATTTATATTTTTTGCAATAACCAAATAAGTATATGCATAGCATTTTGAAGAATTTTTTTTTTAAACATTTTAATAATATTGCCTTCAAACGTACCTGTAAAAGATCTGATGAATAAGCTGGTGACAGCACATTTCTAAACAAAAATGAACTAATTAAAAAGCAAGCAAGCTGTTAACATTTGAGAAAGCATTATAGAGACTATTTAACAGTTCAAAATGACAGCTTAGTTTCAGCTCTGGTTGAAATGGAGGTTTAGAGTTCTGGAAATGTACCATAATACAAGGATCTCTTTAATCTCAAAAGATCAAACAAGGAAAAGGGTATTCCTCATGACACGATTACTCTAAGAAATCATTGTTTGTATTATCATTAAATGCATAATTGTCATAAAAATCACTTCTATTTTGTGGAATAAAAACATTTTATTTATTTATTTAATGCATAAATGTCATAAAAATGACATAGTTTGAACTGCAAATAACTCAACCATCTTTATTTTCATTAAAACAACAACAGCAACAATAGTAATAATAATAATAATAATAATAATAATAATAATGGAGCGATGCAAGGGTGCAGTAGGTAGTGCTGTCGCCTCACAGCAAGAAGGTTGCTAGTTCGAACCTCGGCTCAGTTAGCGTTTCTGTGTGGAGTTTGCATGTTCTCCCTGTGTTCGCGTGGGTTTCCTCCGGGTGCTCCGGTTTCCCCCACAGTGTAAAGACATGCTGTACAGGTTTATTGGGTAGGCTAAATTATCCGTAGTGTATAAGTGTGTGTGGATGTTTCCCAGAGATGGGTTGTGGCTGGTAGTGCATTCGCTGCGTAAAAATGTGCTGGATAAGTTGGTGGTTCATTCCGCTGTGGCGACCCCGGATTAGGGACTTAGCTGACAAGAAAATAGTGAATGAATGAATAATAATAATAATAATAATAATAAATTATAATATAAATAAATAATAAAGCATGTTATTAATAAAAATAATTATTATAATTATAATAATATATTTTTTTCACAATATAGAAATTATTTAGCATGGAAAAAGCTCTGATTGCAATGGAAGTTTTGGAAAGATCTATAATACAAGGATCCCTTTAATCTCAAAAGATTAAACAAGGACAAGTGTATTCCTCATGACACGATTCCTCAAAGAAATCATTGTTTGTTGCATCGTTTTTATATTTCCAGTAAAACTCAAGTGACATAATGAAAGTGTTGGATGCGTGACTCTGTTTTCTCTCTTTCTGTAGACCCAGGAAAGACAGAACAGTTGATTCAACCATCTGAAAGTGGTCCTGTTCTAGAAGAAGTTACTGTGAGCAATACATCTTTGCCTCAAAGATCTGAATGCGGCATCCAGACCTCGCAAACAGACTTACAAGTGCAGTGCTTTGATTCAGACACAGCCATTTCTTCCCCTGAGTCAAGCTGTTCCATTTACGCTGAAGCTCAGACCTCAAAAACCATTCCTAATACATCCAGCTTAACTCACACCGAGACGCAAACACAAGTGCAATCTTCTAATGAACCTTCAAGCTTGTGCACTGAATTCTCCACATCGACAATAGGACTGAAAAAAGATATGGCTACTTCCACCGACGAGCTCCAACCTTCAATCCAGCAATCGAAAGACTTGACATCAACATCTAAACCCGCTAGCGTAAGCTATGTAACGGATGCAGAACCCAAACCCAAACCATCCAATGAGCACACCCGCGGATACATCCCAAAAGTGGGCATGACCACATACACCATAGTCCCTCAGAAGTCTCTGGAAAAGTTGCATTCGCTTGAGATTGAGATGACTTTGGAGCCTAAAGTCGATTGCAAACCCAATGTTTCCAATGGCACGGTCACTCTTAATGGCCATCAGAATGCGTTTGCTCAGACAAATCAATGCACTTCACCACCAGCAACCAATTCAACCAATTTGTCTACTAATTTGTCAACTAAGCCAACCAGTTTGTCAGCCAATACAACATATTCGTCAACCAAACCAACCAGTTCGTCAACCAGTCCAACCTATTTGTCAACCAATCCAACCAATTGGTCAACCAATCCAATCAATTCATCAACCAGTCCAACCTATTTGTCAACAAATCCAAGCAATTCCTCAACCAATCCAACCAATTCATCCACCAAACAGACCAATTCCTCAACCAATCCAACCAATTCCTCAAGTGTTGATGAAAGAATCGACTCTGTTTCCCTCAAAGATAAGAAAGTTCCTCCTGCAACGAGACCCAAACCAGCGTCTTTCCGTGTGCCGCAACACAAACGCATGTCTGGAGATTACGTGAGCTCTGCAGCGGTACGGCGGGCCAGTATTGGCAGTAGTAGCAGCAGCAGTAGTTGTTGTAGCAGTCCCGCAGCTCGCCCTAAAGAATCCCTAAGCAGCCCGCAGTCTGATGTTTTCCCAGCAATGGAGATCTTTCCTCCTCCACCTCCACCAGTCCAATGGGAGGAAGAGCAAAGTCAGAGTACGAGTGCTAAATCTCTACCTCAGAATGAAGAGATAGATGCAGCTCTCCCTGAAGCTCCGAAAATCCCACCGTCGTCCTTTTTGTCCCGTCAGAAGAGTCTTCCTACAAACCCTGCGCCTTCGCTGAGTTTGGAGAAGTTGAGAAGTTTTGCTGCACCCAAACCGTATTCGCCATCATCTCCGTCTCGCTTTGCTCAGGCCGTTTCTTCTGCTGTCAAAAGATCACAGTCTCTTTCCCATCATGCACCAGTGCAGGAAACACGCACGCATACTCTTACAAAACAAAGGCCCATTAGAGAATCCCCTGAGCCGCCGACATCCACTGTAAGTACTGCCGGATTAAATGTTTAATTATGACAATGTTTGTTTTATTGAATGGCTTAAAAAGGCCAGATCACACTGACAATATGTTTCTATATCAATGTAACAGCTGTTTTTTTGGGTAAATTGGTCTTGGTTACATTTCCAAACCAGAGTCATTCTGAAAACGTAGTCCTGTGGATGTTACTGGAGACTGCGAAATGCGTCCCAGGAGACGTAGTTGGAGCATTTTAATTACTCACCCTTGCCCCGTTTGAATAGTATTCTTCTGTGCAAATGAGATAAATAATGTCAGTATGTAATTACCGGTTATGATCTAATGAACTGATACCGAATAGTGTCTACATCGCGGTGCTGAGAAGAAACAATTAATTTTGACCCCTGTACATTTCACAAAAACTGAATTGAAATTAACAAACAAACAAAACAAATTATGTTTCCAATTTTAATATGTTTATTTGCCATTGTTTGAATGGCAAAATTATCTTTAAAAAATGTGTTGTTTTAATGTAAATAGTTTGCAATGCAAATTATACATATTTAAAAAATAAAATAAAATAATAATAAAACAACATAATGATATTATTAATAATAATATCACTAATAATGATAACAAAGTAATATTAATAATAATAATAATAATTATTATTATTATTATAATAAAATAATACAGTAATAATTATGATTACAGATAATAATAATAATAATAATAATAATAATAATAATAATAATAATATTATTATTATTATTATTATTATATTATTATTATTATTATTATTATTATTATTATTATTATTATTATTATAAAACAAAATAATGATATTATTAACATTAAATGTTATAATAATGATAACAAAGTAATAATTATAATAATAATAATAATAATAATAATAACAATAATAATAATAATAATAATACATTTATACTAATAATTATACTAATACGAATAATAACAAAATAATAATATTAATAATAGTGGTACTACTAGTGAAAATAACAAAGTAATAATTTTTTTTTCATAAATTTTGTCTTTTAATAATAATAATAATAATAATAATAATAATGGTAAAATTGTTACTATTATTAATAATAAAAACAATAATAACAATATAATAATAATAATAAGAAGAAGAAGAAGAAGAAGAAGAAAAAAGGAAAGAAGAAGAATAGACAGTTAAACAAATTGTTTAAACTGTAAACAATTATATAAATTTAAACCAAAATCTCTTCTACTTTTTTTTCTTCTCTATTTACATTAAAAAACACATTTTTAAATAATTTTGCAATTTAAATAATGGCAAATAAATGTTTTACAATATTTAATATTTGAAATAAAAAAAATCTTTTTGTTTGTTAATTTCAATTCAGTTTTTTGTAAAATGTAAGCAAGACCAATTTATCCAAACAACTGTTGCATTATGATGTTCTATCATCAATGAATAATGTATTGTAAAAAATACCTGTCTAATCAAGCGCTGGTAAAAGAATATTGGGTTTTGGATGACACTCAGTGCGTATGTGTGTTGTGTGTGTGTGTTATTAATGACACCTCATTAATCTCTGTCGTAGACTGACACGTCTGCTAGTCTTTGTTGTTGTTTATTTGTTTGTGTGCATGCGTGCGTGTGCATGTGTTTAGTGATGCTGACCGCTGTTGGGATCGCTGTCAGTGTATACAATGCATGTTTGGCCTCATTGCTGTCAAAACAAATTTAACCAAACGCTTTTGTCTGCTGATGGATTTTAAGATCATTTATGAGAAGATTCAGTCAAGGATGGCTAAAAGTTTGACTGATGGTGTATGGAAATATTGCTGTATGACAATGTGTCAAAGAAAATGATTTATTCTTATTAAGCTTTTTTTTTCAAGGAAAGACAATGCTCTGTACTAAACAACTAGTACAGCCAAATTTATATGTTATAGAAAAAAAAAATTAAATACAAATTTAAAAGAGAGGAAAAATCAAGAGAAGCAAAAAAATGTAAAAATGTAGTTGAAATTTTGTAGGTTGTAATTTTTGTTTTTGTATTTTGCAAGTTTAATTGTATTTATTCTTAAAGACTTTATCTGTTTTATTTGCACTAAAATATATTGCCTATATTCACCTGGGAAATGGAGAAAAATATTCATTTTCAAAATGGGCTGTATTCAGTTATGCTGAGCGTATGTGTATGTATGTATGTATGCATGTATATGTGTGTGTGTGTGTGTGTGTGTATATGTGTGTGTATATGTGTGTGTATATGTGTGTGTGTATATATGTATATATTCTCAGATTTGAGAACCAGACAGAACTGTTGTATATGTATATATACTTTCAGCAAGGACACATTCACATAATCATAAATGACAGTAAAGACATTTAGAAAGTTAATAAATAGTTATAATTTTTATTCTTTTGAACTTTCTATGTCACAATTTTCAAAAAAAAATATAGCAGTCTTCAGCATTGATAGAGATATTCATTGAGCATCAAATCAGCATATTTGAATGAATTCTGAAGGATCACATGAAGCTAAAGACTAGAATAATGGTGCATCTTTACATGACAGCGATACTTTTATTATTACTTCAAAATATTATTAATATTTTAGTAATATATACAGGTATTATTATTATTATTATTAATTTGTTTATTTTATTTGTTTGTATATCTATTTATTTATTTTTATGTGTGCGAGCGTGCATGCATGTGTGTGTATTTTTGATCACGTTATTGCACACTTTATGAGTAAAATATATTTGCAATACATATAAGCAAAAATCTTGCAGACCCCAAACATTTAAATAGTTATTTACTTTCTTCTAAAAGTTTGTTTTATATTTAATTAGGAAGCTCTTTTTTTACTTTTTCTTCTTCTAATAATAATAATAATAATAATAATAATTAGTAGTAGTGGGGTGGAGCAGTGGGTAGCACTGTCGACTCAAGAAGGTCGCTGGTTTAAGTCCCAGCTGGGTCAGTTGGCAATTCTGTGTGGAGTTTGCATGTTCTCTCCCTGTTGGCGGGGGTTTCCTCCAGGTGCTCCGGCTTCCCCAACAGTCCATACACATCCACTATAGATGAATTGGGTAAGCTAAATTGACCGTAGTGTATTTGTGTGAGTGCAAGTGTATGGGTGTTTCCCAGTACTGGGTTGCAGCTGGAAGGGCATCCGCTGTGTAAAACATATGCAGAAATAGTTGGTGGTTCATTCCACTGTGGCAATCCCAGATTAATAAAGGCACTAAGCCGAAAAGAAAATAAACGAATGACTGATTTAGTAGAAGTAGTAATAATAATGATGATAATAAAAAAACAGTTATTAGTAGGGTATAATATAGAAGTAATAATAATATACATAAATACAAATAGTATAGCCATAAGAATATAATAAAAATTTCATTTATGTTATATAATAATTTAATAATATATAGTTAATTTAACGTAAATATGCATGTTTGTTATTATTTTTCTTCTTCTATTTTTATGCATGTGTGAGTGTCTGCCGTGTGTCTTAACCTCTCTGAGTGATTTATCAGGATGACACAAAAGCAGTGCTGTCTTTTATTTCTTCTGGCACCGTGTGTCCTCCTGGTGTGCATCATCTTCAGCCCTGAATGCGGGAGAGTGTGTTTATTGTGTGTTTTCTTCCCCTCTGTGGCCCTCAGGTGGCAGACAATGGAGACAGAGAGCCAGAGACACAAACAGCAGACACTGATCCAGTCATGGGAACATGTAAGATTGGAAATACTCAAGCGTCGCCAGTGAGTCTCTCTAACTCCAGATCTAACCAGCAAAATGATAACATTTAATGCTGACACTTTACAAGAAGGCTCTGTTTGGTAACATTACTACTACTGTGTTTATTATTACAGTACACTGTAAAAAAAAGTCTTTATTTTGTAGGGATGCACAATATATCGGCGGCCATATCGTTATCGGCCGATGAATGCTATTTTTAAGATTATATGTGTCGATGTCTAAATTAGACCGATATCTTTAAGCCGATAAATTACGTAATTTTACAGACATGCCTGCCGCGCTCGCATGGGTGGAACTTGTTCAGACTTGCCCAGTGCACTATAATGGAGCTTTCTCACATTGTTTATTCCTTCAAAGTCTGTCCTTTCTTCATGTGGTATTGCTGTGCTTTAATAACTCCGTAAGTAACCACGTTCCTCATCATCGTAGATATGTTTGAGTGTCATTGTGTATTTTGCTTTAAATCGCCTCAGGAAAAATATTACATGTGTAAACCTTTCCTGCTCGGTCTCTTTGTTGTGTTAGAGATAGCAGGGGAGATTCACTTATTACTCCAGGGCCGAATAATGTTAGTTTCGGGGTGAACTCTTTTCATAGCAGCTGGTGAATGAACGAGGACACATGTAACTTGGTCCAAAATATTTATTACTTTCCGTGTGGTACAGCAAATCAGTCACCAAAGAGGGAACATCACTGAAAATAGTCTCATTGCGGAAAAAACGCTCCTCTATTCTCTCTCCCTCTCCGCTTCACACACACCCCAAACTGCAGCCCAGTCCCTTAAAGCAGTGGTCCCCAACCACCGAACAATTGGTACCGGGCCACATAAGAAATCATAAATTATTTCTGTAGAAAATATTCCCCCATGACTTGGTTTCTTCCACTCAACCCCGCCATCTCACGTGAAATGGACTATGCCAAAATCCACCACAGAGCGGGAAGAACAAGTTTAAAGTTATAAAACGGGTATTATAGTCCAAATCAGCAGAGCATTTAAGGATTGTGCATATATGTGTGCGTGCATCGCTAAGTAAGTACCCGAAATCATTGCAATATGTATCTATATGCAGTTTCACATAATCATACTCATTAGGGCTGTAACATGCCAATGCATACATTTAATTCGGCTATAGTACGGTTGTATTATTGTTAATATGTTCAATAGTTGAGATGTTTGGCACAGATATTATGTATTTGATGCATATAAACCTTGATTGAAACGCAATCAGACCGTGATAGTGGAACTAGCGCATGCACACTGAGTTATTCATGATTAACCTGGATGCACGAGCGCAGCAGCTGAAAACCGGTCCGTGGTAAAATTAACAACCATTGATAACCATTGATCCGCGGTGATAAAAAGGATGGGGACCACTGCCTTAAAGGACCCGCACATTTTACAACACGTGTAAACGTAATGGTTGTTTGTAATCTGATTATGCGTTGCTTGCCATGTGTTGAAGATGTAAGATTGTATTCAGTTTGATCGGAATATTCATATTGATTATAACGAGCACGTGTGAGAGCTGTCACGGCACGCACACACACACACACACACGCACACACACACACACACACACACACACACACACACACATACACAAACGGCACGGCGGAGAGGTGAATCCAGTCAAAGGGGTTTTGTATCAAAATCTGACTCTGATAGCAACTCTGCCTCTACAGTTGATTGAAACTCTCGGTGGTTTATCATAAACCTTTCATCGATAATTTTCCCCGCAATTGACAGCAAGAACAAGCGCAGAAGCGTTGTCTGAAGCAGCACCTACATGTGTTCAAAAGCATCTAAAACTCCAAATAGGATGAATCTGTGCCGCATTTTCTAAACGTACTAAAGCGTACTATCTGTATTAGCTGTTTGCTTGTACGGTGGCTCTAAACCACAGGTGTCAAACTCAGTTCCAAAAGGGCCGCAGCTCTGCACAGTTTAGTTCCAACCCTAATTAAACACACCTGATCAAGATAATTGAGTCCTTCAGGCTTGTTTGAAACCTACAGGTAAGTGTGTTGGAGCAGGGTTGGAATTAAACTGTGCAGGGCTTCGGCCCTCCAGGAATTGAGTTTGACACCCCTGCTCTAAACTGTCAAAACACCTCTAAAAAAAAAAAAGGCTTTTTCGGACATGACATATTTGTGCATGTGTACATAACTCTAACACGTTTTATTCCAGACCATTTGAGCTGGTTTCAGGCCTTAGCTCTTTCATTTTCATCTGATTTAAAATATATTTAACTTGCTTGTTTAATAAATCCCATTTGTTATTTAACCTATTATTTTAATGCAACAGTCAAGTTGCATGTTAATTTGCTATGAAGAAAAGGAAATAATGTATTTTTTGCATGCTGATTTATGTGAAATCGTGAATATAAGTCTGTATAATCACCTTGCAATTTTGAAATTATAGCTTTTTTGCTTTAAGTATAGACTATTCAGTTCATAAGAGCAGTTCAATCTTTTATGAAGTTTGCTGTATAAAAATAAAACACTTTGAAATATTTATAATTATCGGCTTATATATCGGCTATCGGCCTCCAAGTCTGAAGAATTATCGGCTATTGGTATCGGCCAAAAAATCCATATCGGTGCATCCCTAGTATTTTGTGATTTTAATTTTGTTTACTTATGCTTTTGAATTGCATTATGGGATCTTGATTTTTCCTCCTACTGTTAAAACATTTTTAAAAAGTGACTTTTATTGTGTTTTTAATAGTTTAAAGTGATCTATTGTCTGGGTTGATTTTGTAAAATTATCATACAAAAATCGGGCAATAACCTGCCACTACTTTTTTCTGTTATATTGCAAACTTATATAGAATATATTGGATATATTAGTGCTGCCAAATTATTTATTGCAATTTATCACATCCAAAATAAAAGTTTGTATTTAGCTAATGTCTGTGTACTCCTTGTGTATAAAGAATATGTTTATATATAAATAAAACCTATATAAAATTCTAAAAAGTCAAAAACTAAATAAATATATATCATTCATTTTCTTGTCGGCTTAGTCCCTTTATTCCGCCACAACGGAATGAACCGCCAACTTATCCAGCAAGTTTTTACGCAGTGGATGCCCGTCCAGTCACAACCCATTTCTGGGAAACATCCACACATACATTCACACACACACTCATACACTACCCAATTCACCTGTACCACATGTCTTTGAACTGTGGGGGAAACCGGAGCACCTGGAGGAAACCCACGCGAATGCAGGGAAAACATGCAAACTCCACACAGAAACCTAAGTCGAGGCTCAAACCAGCGACCTTTAAGGCGACAGCACTAAATACTGCGCCACTGCTTTGCCCATATATATATATATATATATATATATATATATATATATATATATATATATATATATGTGTGTGTGTGTGTGTGTGTGTGTGTGTGTGTGTATGTGTATATATATATATATATATATATATATATATATATATATATATATATATATATATATATATATATATATATTTACACACATTCATTAATTTTCTTTTCAGCCTGGTCCCTTTATTAATCTGGGGTCACCACAGCGGAATGAACCGCCAACTTATCCAACATTTGTTTTATGCAGCAAATGCCCTTCAAGCTGAAAAAAAATGTCAGTAAAAGTCACTTTGTTAAACTGTAAGGTTAAAGTTCAACATCAAAAGACGACAAAGCAGAGACATAAGCAACATCCCATTATGCAATTTACAAATGGACAAAACATGTCCAACAAAATGTCCATTACAAAATATGAAAGCTGTTAATTAACGATTTTTTTTTTACAGTGTATACTAACTGTATCTTTACTTAATAAAACAATTGAAGCACAAAACACAAATCACAAGTATTTCAAGCCTATTCACATTTTTCCACATGTGGTGAATGCGTTTTAAACTATGGTTTGCACTTCCTGTTCAGGGAACTCATTTCATTCAACAGAATTTAAACATCATTTTACATAATCAGGTTGTGATACAAGTATTTCAAATATAATCACTCCATGACAAAAGTAATGTTGTTGATCCCAGTTGTAAGATCAACAAATAATAACTTGACTTCTAGTTGATCATTTGGAAAAGTTGTAGAAGGTGGATTTTTCTCTTGAATCATCTGTTGAGCTGCATCCCAATCATCACAAATACTGCAGAAGACCTACTGGAACCAACATGGACCCAAGAATCTCATAGAAATCAGTCAAGTTTGGTGAAGGAAAGATTATGGTTTGGGGTTACATTCAGTTTGGGGGTGTGCGAGAGATCTGCAGAGTGGACAGCAACATCAACAGCCTGAGATATCAAGACATTTGTGCTGCCCATTACATTACAAACCACAGGAGAGGGCAAATTCTTCAGCAGGATAGCGCTCCTTCACATACTTCAGTCTCCACATCAAAGCTCCTGAAAGCATAGAAGGTCAAGGTGCTCCAGGATTGGCCAGATCTGAACATTATTGAGCATGTCTGGGGTAAGATGGAGGAGGAGGCATTGAAGATGAATCCAAAGAGTCTTGATGAACTCTGGGAGTCCTGCAAGAACACTTTCTTTGTCATTTCAGATGACTTTATTAATCAGTGATTTGAGTCAGTGCAGAGATGTATGGATGCAGTCCTCCAAGCTCATGATGGAGTCAGAAACAATATTCATTCTATTCCACTGCAGCATGGCTTTATATTCTATACTGGACATTATTTCTGTTCAGTGACAAGACTTTTGTCTAAGCAAAGTCAGACCTTACTGTCAAGACATGATCATATTTTAATTTGGGAAAATAAGCACAATCTAGAGGCCTTTGCCTTTCATAAAACCCACTTCTGATATCAAATGATCAACTAGAAGTCAAGTTATTATTTGTTGTTCCTAAAACATGGATATATTTATTTATAAAATGCAAGTAAGTACATGCTTTTTACTTATTTAATTGTTAATGATGATAAATATAATAATAACAAAAATAATATTAATCATTATTTTTACCGTTGTTGTTCTTGTTATTACTTTCATGAATGAATGAATGAGTATTAAATGATTATTCAAATAGGAACGGAGAACAGCCGTGGATTTCTTTTCATAAGTGTTTCTTTTACGCATTTTCCCCTCATTTCCCTTCATATTTCGTTGCATTTATTAATCTTCTTACTAACACATATTTAAAAATGCTGTAAAATAGAAATGAATTAAAGAAAGATATATATCCATATTGCTCCTAGTTAGTTGATGTTCACTATTTCATTAACAAATGAGACCTTAATGTAAAATGCTGACCTTTTATCTTGAAGGTCCTTTCTGTAACTTAACAACAGCGAATCAATTTCTAACGTCTGTGTTTGTGAACTTTATTTTTATCAGGGGTCTGAAGCGTCATCGCAGGAAGTATCAGACGTCTTTCATTCAGCAGAAGAATGAAGCTCTTGGACATGATTAAATTCTCCACTGACGAGGTTCAAAACATTAACATCAGTCACCAGAAAGTTTCTTATTTTAGATTATCATCATTTTTTTGTGGTTTCACGATTGATTGAAATACCGGCTCTTTTTTTTTATCCAGATCTGGACACAACTGCGTAGACCGCGGCCTTTTACTTTTTTCTTACTTTTTACTAGCCACAATGTGCCTTAAAAATTATAAATAAATAAATGGCAGTTCAAGCTCCTAATATATATTTGTTTTCCTTTTAATAATGATATTAGTAATAAAAAGAAATCTTGATTTAAATATTTGCAGAGAGATTAGGCTTTTTCTGCTGCTCCGAGTCATACAAAAGCTGTGGATGTGTTTTAATTTATTCTACAGATGAACATTGCAGACTTTATTCCCTAATTTCTGTTTTTCTCTCCCCTCATGTCAACAAAAGTAACAAATTTGTTATATTTAAAAAAAAAATGAATATTTTCGTTCTGTTTCCGATATCTGATCTGCATTAATGGACGTGTGTAAATATGCAGATGTGCTTTCATATATTTGGAGGCCTTTTTGCATTTAAGTTATTAGGTGTAGATTTGATTTGTGATTATTAGCCAATGGTACTGAGTCACAGAAACCCCTCGCCTTCAATATTAGTGTGTATTGTTTAATTATGGGCTGCAGTTGTCATATGTTGAAGTAATTATAATGATAATAATATGTTGTGACATTGAACAGGTTTCTGGAGCCCAAAAAACATCACATCAATTAAAGAGAGAAAACACTGGGCTTTTCGTTTGTTTTGAGGAGAAAACTGCTGTATTATATGAATCACAACCTCCTCTCTGTTCTTTATTAAAGTATAACTGACTTTAAAGGTTTGTTTAAGTTGATTTTGTGTGTTGTTCTTTCATACAAGTCCTATTTTGAATAAAAAGGATTCATTGGATTTTCTAAATGCTTTTAAGGTAAGTGGTTGCAAACAGTTTGTATGGGCTGGTGTTACGTGTTTAAGATGTTGAAGTGGGATGCTGTAACATTTAGGTGAGACAGGTGTAATGTGTGCAACAGATCAAGGATGAGACAAGAATCAATTCTCTTATTTAAGCTCTTTACTCAATGATTGAAACAATATGCAACAATAATAAATGGGGGGAAAAAAGAAATAAACATTTACAATTATTATCTTTAAACAAAAACAATGAGTGTAAGCCAGAGGTCACCAACATGGTGCTCGCGGTGTTGCCCGCAGGCCTGTTCTAAAAATAGCTCACCATAGGGCCACTTACCAGTAAGCTTCATCTAATATAGAAGTAATCATTTAAAAATGTAAATATTTGCAGAGATATATAAAAATAAAGTGTTGCACATTGATACATTAAATACAGGGTATTTCCTACCCTGTTAAATCATTGTTGATAACTTTTGTGAGCATCATTAACATGATCAGTGTCTTCACATGGATGAATATAATTAATTATTACCAAAAACATAAAGTATAATTAAAAGTAAATTGAGCAAATTTGTTATTTGAGAAGTGTTTATCAAACTGGTAGCCCTCCACATTAATCGGAACCCAAGAAGTAGCTCTCAGTTTCATAAAGGTTGGTGACCCCTGGTGTAAGCCAAATCAAAGAAATTAACAAAACAAAACAATCCTTAAATCTAAAGTCTGAACTAGGCGTCAAAAAGAAACCGAGATCTAAAAACCGAAATCTTCAGTGTACACGACACCCGAACTAAACTAATTAAACTACAAAACTCAAAGTACACAGATGGCAAAACACTCAAACTAATCTAACAAACATCAATCTAAACTAAAACAAACCAGATAAGTCTGTCAAAGCTTAGTTTAGAATCACACAACAACCATCACATTATGTTACTTAAAGCCAACGATGCAAATGCAAACTCGAATTACCACTGAGATAATAAATCACTGAATAGACGAAGCATAGCACAAACAGATCGCATGGAGCACAAATGGTATGCCGAGGCAAAGTGCACAGCACACACTGGTCTGTCGGGGCTTAAATCCTTGCGGCTCGTCCCGGGATTGGTGGAACCGAAAACGTCATAATGATGATGGACAGAATGGTAAACCAATAAGAAACCTAAGGGCTGAGCAAACGGAGAAGAGGGTGAAAACAAAGACAGAAAACATAAATCATAACAGCTGCATTTAAACAAACAATTTGGTAGTTAATATAGTTAAATTTAGTACTGTTCAATTTAATTTGTTTAGATTCAGTCCATACAAATTCTTTGCAATCACTTAGCTTAAAAAAATGAGTTGGTCCAATAAATCTTTTTTTGTGTGTGTGTATTTTGATTTAATGTTTGATGCTAAAGCCTGGTTTATACTTCTGCATCAAGTGACCGGCGTAACTCACGGCGCAGGCAACGCGCGCAGCTGTGCATTTATACTTCTGCGCGCTGTCTCTGTTGGTCTGCATTAACACTTCCGAAACGCTACCCACATAGCAAAATTTCTCTGGCCCAGCTCTGGCCCACACAATCAGGTTTTGCTTGGCCCACATGCCGCAGTGAATTACGGTACATGACTGGACCAAATCTGGCTTCCAGACAAGGGCCAAACACGGACCATATCTGGGCCAAGTCTCAGCCAAGTTAATAACTCATAACTGGGCCTGAACTGGGCCAGATAGGTTGGTGTGTCACGATTGCAATGAAATTGATAAACCCATGGAGTGATGCGCTTTAGGCACACTATGGGCACGCTTTTTCTCAAAGTGACCTGATTGGTAGGATTTTTTTTCTTTACTCAAAAATGATTTTAGTGTATTTTAAATGTGGGTTAAGACTGGCCAAACTCACATGGCCCACTTTCAAATTTTTAAATCTGGGCCAAATACTACGTTTTTCATCTGGCCCAAATCTTGTGTGCCGCTTTAAAGACGGTGCCACCTCTGCCAAACCCGGGCCATGTTTGGCCCACATGCTGTATGCCAGTGCCGGATGAATGCCTGCTGTGCCAGCTTTATGCCAAATCTGGGCCAGAATTCTTTGCTACTAGGGTAGTTGGCAGTGAGGAGTTAATGTTCCTCTGTGTCGAGTTTCTTCGCTTCTGTTTTGCTTTTCCTGAACACTTCCGGGATGTACAAGTGGCTCAAACTTGCTCATTTTGAGGCAGGAACCGGCGGACATGCAACAACTTTAACTATGAGGTAAACACAAAACAAAACTTTCTATCCGGAGCTCCTTCACGGGACTACACACTTGTAAACAATCGCTCACGCCATTCGCGCGGCTCTCGGTCCCGCCCAGACTTGTCAGCGCTACCAAGCCGACCAATCACAGAGCTTGCGCTACGCGTTGTTGCGACATGTAGTTACATTTTTTGAGAGGTGCACGTCAGTGACACCGACGGCCACGGCGAAGGACTATGCGTCAGCGCCGTAGCATACGCCGGCGTTTGACGCAGAAGTATAAATCAGCCTTAAGAGGTCAAAATTTAATTTTCTTCCTGCAAAGTACAAACTTAAAGGCATAGTTCACCCAAAAATGAAAATTCTGTTATCGTCTACTCCCCGTTTTAATTGTTTCAAACCTTTATGAGTTTATTTCTTGTGTTGAACACATGAGAAGATATCGTGAAGAATGATGGAAATCTGTATTAGAGGTTTTTCCGTGTAGCCCCACTGGTCCAACTAAACTTCATTCCCATCCGGGTCACTGCACCAATGTAACCCTACCGGTCATACACCACCCAACCTGCTTCTAGTTAGGATCTAATCACCGACCTTCAACATGAGAGTTGGTTGCTCTACCAAGAAGGCTAAAAACCATGGCCTCTTGCATCTGCCGCTAGAGCACCTTTAGGGTTCAGAGGAGTGAGGTTTGCCTGCACAACACTTCACTAGCTGGCCTCTGCTACGCTCATCCCTCTAAACCTCACTCCCATCAGGGTCACGGCACCAATGTAACTAGTGTTTTGCGTTGTGTAAATAGATATCAACTTTTATATATCTTTCAGTGATTTATTGTCTGTGCAAAACAGTCAGAACAAAAATGAGCACAGAGACAGTCAACCAGCCCTCGTGCGCTGGCTTCTTCATCTTCATACACATCAAAATTACTTTTTTTTTTTAAGGTAACAGAGGGGGTGCTCTACATGTAAAACAATAAACAAATGTTAACCCCTTCCTTCCCAGCAGTATTTCAATGTGTGCAAGTGGAGAGATACAATAAAGGCCAGTTACACCCAAGACTTTATTTACTGTCCCTCTCCCGCAAGGTTTTATTCCGCACCTGACCGTTCCTGATGTATATTCAATTTTTGTTCACCCGCTGCCCGCTTCGAATAAATTTCTACCCAACTTGTAATGCAAGCAGAAGGACAGCGCATCTTCACTTTTCTCTGCCATCCTAAAGCCCGCTCTGAGGACTGCTATGCAGGTGATGCACGCACAGAGGCATACTCACACTATGCACTGTGGCCTTGAACCGGGCCAAAGCATGCTTGTCCCCCTATGAAATATTTCGCCAAACAGATCAGCCACTTTTGACGCTCATAAACAATCATAAAGTCATCATGCTGCAGGAATTAGGAGGTTTGCTGAAGGTGCAACTGATGTGCAGTGAGTGGTTTGCGTCTTTAATAATCTATGACAGTTTGCGTTCATTGAACAATAAGAATGATTAATAAATCCATATCAAACAGTCCCGTCTTGTCAGTTTCAGGCTCAGGCACACTTTGCACTCAGGGTGCTTTCACACCTAGACTTTTGTTTCGGAACCTTACTCGTTTGCCCAGTTAGCGCGGTTCGTTTGACATATATGAAACCACCAATCGCGCTCTGGTCGCTCCGACATCGCTTGAATGAGGTGGTCTCGGCTCAATTGAAACAAACTCTGGAGCGGATCGATTGTAGTGAGAAAGCGATACGATCCGAGCTCAGCTATATCAAAGCGTTTTATGGCTAGGTAATAGGCATACGGCTACATGAAGAGAGAGTTATGAGTAGGGCAGGAGGTCATTCCAGAAATTCCAAGTCTCCCGGAAGTTTCAGTAGTCTCCCACAAATGCACAGATACTCCCAGACGTCCGCAAATAAGTGATAATCTCTCGGAAATTGCACGTCTCTCGCCTGGTCCGCGAATACGTTGCGCACCCTTCTCACCCCTCCCCACCGCATCCCTCCTCGCTCTTCAGACACGTCGTGCGCACCCTGTCAAACACCACCAAACCACTTTTACCGTACGTTCACACCGAAAGCGGCGAGAGCGTCCAAGGTCGCTCTGGCCACCCTGGCGACAACGCTGTCTGCCTTCAGCTCCGGCGGCGAGAGCGTCAAAACTCGCTACATTGATCTAGTACTTAAAGGAGCCGTTGCAGCATTATCAGTTACATTCCTGCATAAGACATGTTTTTAGCGTAAAAATATTGCGCACTTCTTATCAAATTCACACAACAATGGAAGATCAAGTTGCATGTGGTGTGGCTTTGCTCTATTTATCCAATATGTGTCCATATGTCTGAAATATCCTGAAGCAGCAGTACTGTTTTGTACTGTCACGTCGTGTGAGATTCCCGCTTTTTAAAGATAAATTTATATAACATTAATGAACATCAGTAACTCGCCAGTAACTTATTTAATGTATGTTCCTGTAAGAAAACATTGTAAATAATTGGAAATCCGGCGACCGCAATAATCAAACCCTTGGGAACAACTGTGGTCGGAACCAAAGTTCACAGGTCTGTGTTCCCTGAACTGCTATCAAGCGGTGGACGTCTTCATTCTGATTGCTTGCCGCCGAACCGCGTCATAGCTCATTACCATAAAGTTGACTTGATTTCAACTCTCCTCGACGCTCACGCCGGCGAAAACGTGCCGCGCTGCTCCTCGCCGCTTA